GCTTGTAAATATCTTTCCCTTGGATCATGCATGAATTGACTAAACTACACTGACAGAGCTTCCCAACAACTCTTTCATATTGACCTTTATTTCGAGTTGAATTGTCTTCATCACTCCCAATTTTATGGTTTTGTTCTATGGGAACTCCAATAGTCACAAAATCGATCTTACCATTTCTTTTAAAAGATTAATAACATTTTTAATACAGTAAATAGAGGAGATTTGATATCCTCTAATAATAAAGATAATTAAGCGTAACTCAATCTCACAACCAACTTGTAATGTGAGATTTGCACCCACTTATATATACCACGGTAAATTTCTAATTCATGCGGAATTTCCAACACCACCCCCTCACACGGATGACTATATCAAGCGTGGAACAAGATACTTATAGGTGGTCGTGGTCCTATAACGGCCCAACCCTGGATGTCATAATAAGTCCAACAAGTCTCATTAGGATAAACTATGATACCATGTTAAACTACACAAGACATTAAGCTAAACCTGAGTGTTTCTAAGACATTATCTTGAAAAAAAAATGAATACAATAAGTAAAACAGATTCAATAATTACGTATAAAAATAAAAATATGATAAGGAAATAAACAAAAAATATCCTAATAATAGTAAGTTATGCTCATTATTTCTATAATTATAATATAAGAAGCAAAATCAATATACAATAGTGGGAAATATTTGGAAACATATTTTTCCTCTAACTTATATCTATAACAAGTAGAAATTGAACGTTTACTTACAACGACAAGATGACAATGATTTAACCATTGGAAACCTACTTTAATCTTATTAGACATCCAACAATGTTGAAGCATATCCAACCTGAAGCATTTTGCACGAGATAGAGGAACCAAGATTTACTACAAGTTTAGCACTTTCCGTCTTGGGAAATGAGTGCTTATGTGTAATTGAGATCAGAACTTCCTCAACTATCATTAATGAACACATGGATATGGTTCCTTAATTGCTTCAGAGCACACTACATAAATAATGTTAAACGCTAGTCATCTCCCATGTATGATGTTTTCAGTATAGGAAACAGTATCTACAAAGTAGCACTTAGTCAAATGATCATTGATCAATTTGCCATTATTACACAGTATGAAATGATAATGAGCAAATAAACTTTCCTCTGCAAAAATATATTTTCTTAAAAATCAATGATATCAAATACATGGCCAGTCAAATTCGCCGACTCAATCACTACCATTGCAAGCATTGACCCAAGAATTATCAATCAACTGCAATCAGTTGTGGTTAACAAGACATGCTACTTGATAAATAGTGCTTTCTCAAATGGAATGAAAACCTAAATCTCCAAAACCAAATCCAAAACTTCCCCAAACCCCGAGAAAAAGCCAAAGCAATGATCAGAATAAACTCAATTCTACTCCAAACCAATCGAATTCACCAAAAAAAGATCTCAATAAATATTAGAACAAAAAAGAAAGCTTTTCTTCCCACACCCCACAACCCTAATACGCAATTACATATCAAATTACACAACAAAAACACAAATAAGATGAAAATGGGCACAAGAGCTGACCTGGTGAATAGGGGGGTACATTGAATTTGTGCAAACAGGGCATTCAAGCAGCTCATGAACGCTGGTTGCAGGAGAAATGGCGGTGGCTCCCATAACATTATTGCTATTAGCACCTCCATTACGAGGCTTGTTAGAGGAAAACTCAGAGTGGTTATGAGGATGCAGAGTGTGGTGTTGGATCTCATCCTCATCCATGCCATCAGAAAATGACACACAGTCAATGCTGTCCATCTCCATTGATTCACCAAAACCCACTAAGGAAACAAACAACCACTGATCAAAACAGAATCTTCAACCAATTTAATTACCTGGGTACTTCCCCCTTTCTCAATCTTCTTCCCGTGCCCTCTCCAATCCCGTTTGTTTCTCTCTTGTTTTTCCCTCACTATCCCGGAAAATTTTGCTCAGGAAAAAGAGGAGGAGTAAAAAGAGAAGAGGAGAAGGAAGATGGGGATGGTGGTCATGGATCGATCCAATGGGTGAACTCGGAACAAAACCAAACACCTTCCTGTGGAAGAACAGGTTCTTTTCTTCTCTCTCCCTTGGCGAGGTTGAGGTTGTCTCGAGTGTAAATTGGGAGAGAGAAACCAAATGAGAATTGCTGGATATGGTAATTTGGATAGTTCACTATTTGATCCGACGGTTATACGACTCATTTTTGTTTGGTTTGGTTAAAATAATCAGTTCGTTGATATTTCTCTTAAAATCTTAATTATTAGATTCTTATATTTTGATTGATTTTAATTAGATTTTATTTTTTAAATATGTAATAATTAGATTTTTTTTGTCATTACTAATACTAACACAATAAATATGGGTCGCTCTTGTGATTTTTGTATTTATTTTTTAATATTTTATACTTTTTTATTTTACAATTTTTTTATTTTTTCACGGATAAATCATGGTCTAAATCTCAATTTAATTTATATTTATTTGTTGATTTAATTTATTTTTTTTAATTAATCAATTTTGTCTTTCAAACTAATATTTCTATTAAATTAATATTTTACATTAAACTTTATTTAAATTTTGCTTTAAAGATTTAAATATATATTCAAATAAAAAATGGAAAGTTTAATGTTATAAAATATCATCGCAAATATATTTAAATTTTTGAAACAAATTTTAAACAATATTTAATGAAAAAAATATAAATTTAAATAAATGTAATCATATTAAAAATATCAATTTTAATAAAATATGAATATAAAATTTATATAAAAATTAAATATAATCTCAATTTAAAAACTAACGAAATTATTTAATTTAAAAAAATTAAAATTGAATTGACTCAAAATAACAAATATATAAATAAAATAAAAATTTAAATATTGAATTAATATATCTTGACTTGACATTTAGTGAAAAAGAAAAATTAAAAATTAAATTAATAAATTTTAAAAAGAAATTAAAAAATCACAAAATTACATGTAACACATATTAACAAAAATAACCTAATTATACATTTAAAAAAAATCCATTTAAGACAATTAAAATATAGAAACATAAATCAGATTTTGAAACCAAGAAAGAAAGTATTTTAACCTTTGTTTTCTCGACTTTAATTTTTCATTACAGTACAATTTTGATTATGATGTGCACTGGTTCATAATTGTTTACTAATAATAAAATTTAAAATATTTGAATTAAGTTTTTAATCAATTTTTGTGATTGATCGGTACAACATAAAATTAAACTTTTTAATTGAATCCATGCAATTTTATTTTTCCCTTTTGTTAATTATGTGACATGGCACTCGTTTTGATGATGTATTCATTGCTTTGTTCGTATTTGAATCGGGATTTGAAAATAAACTTGTTCTTGGTTTTTTATTTGATGAATTTAGAGATAATTGAAAGTGGATTTGCAAAGTAAAGTTTGTGATAATAGCGTATGATTGATTGTGTGACATTAAAACAATTGTTTATTTGGTAAAATTGAAGATGTACAAAATGCTCCTGATTTATTAAAGTAATATAAATCATATTTTTAATGTTATATTTAATTGTAAAAATTTTATAAAGAAGTAAAAAGTTTAAAATAATAATTGAAAATTAATTTTTAAAAGTCAAACAATTATAATTGAGTAAATGAATTTATTTTTTAAATGTAATGATTGGTTTGTAATATGAATTTACTACCAAGTTAGTTTTGAATTTATTTATTATGGAAGTGAATTGGACATAGGTGTGAACGGTGTGGGATGAAAAAAAAGGGTGCACTGTAAAAATATGCTGGTTTAATCCAGACATACCAAAACATGGGGTGTTGCTCCCCTACCCCACCCCACCTTTGCTGCCTGTCCAACATATTGTCTAAAATTCCAAAACTATCCTTTAATTTTAAAATATCCTCACCCCCACCTTCTTTTCGTCAAACAAACAAACGGACAGTGTCACATCCGTTGGATAAACAATTCCTTCAACAAAACGAAATGGCCACATCTGTTGAGTTTTTTTTTTTGTTAATTTTCTTTTTGTTAATTTACTTGTCTTTTAAGATTAATACTATAACATTTATTACTTTTTTTTAATTATTACTTAATTATGATAATTATTTATTTTATTTTAATAAATAATTACTTATTAATTTAATTTTTTATGTATTATTATTTAAATCTAATTAACAATTTGTTATAAATAGATTAAACGATTGTGGCGCCTGTCAGTGTAAAAATGGCGATGTGCATTTTTTTTGGTTTTTAGTTTTTTTTTTTAATTTTTTTTATTTAAATTACATTATAAATATTATTTAATTATTTTAATCATTATTACTTATTATTTATCTTACTTAATTTTTTTTATTTAATAAATAATTATTACTTATTTACTTTATGTATTATTATTTAAATATAATTAAAAAATTTTGTTATAAATATATTAACATGGATGTGCCCCCACCACCCGTTTAATCAGGTGTGAACAAAACAGCCTTGCCTTTTTTTTTTTTTGTTGGTTTTAATATTTTTTATATTTTAAATTAATATATTTTTTAAATTTTTAAACTTATTATTTAATTTATTGTGATAAATATATTTATTTTTATTATAAAATACATTAGTTTAATTTAATGTATCTTTATTCTTATGGTACATAATAAATAACATTACTTTTTTAAAAATTTATTAACAGATTTGTCAAAACCCGCCGCTGTTTTGCACAAAGCACAAACACACTTACCCGTTCTGTTGGGCCGCAAGCCACAACATCTCTGTTGCACTTTACATCGCTCAAACTGTCTGTGTTTGCCGTCCTACACGTTTCCCTTGAAGGGAAATTCGAGGTCCTTAATCTCAGGGATCAGTAGGTTGCGAGATGTGAGTGGTTGGTGGTGGGTGGAAGGGGGAGCAACTCCCAAACATGCAACAGGGGGGTATGTAGAAGCCATAGGTGCCACACACATATTGCTCGGGCCAAGCCCAAAGCCCCTTTACCTTCATATTAGAACCTAAGATGCTGCTTTTCTCTATTAGGACAAAGAGCTAGGTCTTGTCTTCACTCTCATCCATGGCAGGCCCTGACCTTGGCATATGACCCATGCGTCTGCGCCCCCCCTTTGTCAACAAAAAGCAACATTAACGGATTGCCCCACACTAGAACTTTTTCGTCCTCTTGTACAAACCTTTGCTCCCGCTGAACCAACCTCCCACGACATCCTTTTGCTCGGCCATAGGTCCTGTAGCTTGCCAAGGCCATTGTCGATGGCACCAACCTCCATCAAAGGTGTTAGCTTAAACCACCAGCCATGCACGAAACATTTACACGGTTCTAGAAAGGAATCAACGTGAGGGAGGAAGAATGTTGGGGAACCGAATACTACACCCACAAACCAAATACACGCTATGCTCAAACATTTACTAAAACCGAATACAACGAAGTTAGAATCGAATACACACATTCTTCAAATCCCATAACTGCTGGAACCGAATAAAAGAACGTAAATACGCCTTCTGTGCAATTTCTTCAAGGAGTGCAACCGGATATGCGTGATAGAACCGAATACAACTACATTTTCCATTTTCTTCTCTCACCACTAGAACCGATTACCAGATTTGTGGAACCAAATACACGATCATGAACAAACTCTTCTTCAACAGTCGCTTGCTTGAGTAATCTTAATCTTTCATCCATCAACCTGTCCTCAACATCAAGCTGCAATCAACCCCTCAAGCACATCCCTCAAACCTTCAAGTGCCACACACAAATCACAAAAATAAATTACTCCGATAACTCCTTTCTCTCCGACTATCACAATACCAACACTTCAACACCACCCATAACTCTCACCACTCCCTTCTTTTTACAACTCTATTCCCATACGTATTTTGTGAGGAAATCAGTACAAATCTGCTCGTATCACAGCAGAGATGAAAAAATAGCCCCATCTCGCAAATCACGCAAATTTTTTTCTCTCCTCAATCAGCGCAAATGACAAGTTTGCCCCTCTCATCTCTCCTTTTCCTTGAAAGAGGTTTTTCCTTCAAGTGACACGCTGTAGAGATTGGCTTGTCATTTTCTTTTGTCCCTTTGCATTGTTGTCATAATTTATAAATTTAAGATTTTTAATTTTTGGATGGTCTATATTTAAAAATTTTAAGTTGCAGATTTGGGAAATTTTGTAATTTTATATACTATATCTAAATTTAGATGTATTAATTTTAACTTTATTTAAAAATATTATAATTAATTTTGTAAGCTTACAACTACAATCCAATCATTACATCATAACCTTCTTTTTAAAATTACAAGTCACAATATTATATTTTCGATAGGCTAAACTTCTTATATTATTATAGAATTTTCATTGTAGACATTTTATAAGTTTCTAATAAATTTATGTTCTTTTATAATTTTAATTTTATTCTATATGAGTAACTTTGTTTCATCGTGATAAATATTAAATCTAGTAATCTTATAATTAAAAGCTATAGACCTTAATCTTTTAAGTGAAAGTCTTATATTTTTTATACATATTTATATTTATGGAAACTGTGTAGCAATTTTATCATTTTCTAATTTTATACCAGAATTTTTAATTTTAATTATTTATCACTTTTATATTAGTTTGCTATTACATTTTCTTCGTATTTATTTTGGGGATGAATACTTCTATTATTATTTTACTTATGTTATAATTTATATTTTCTATATAGTTATTTTTCATAATTTAATTATAAGTTATTATTTTCTTTTAACTTTACTATTTTTCCCCTTTACTACTTTTATTACCTTTTCTACTTTTCTACTTTTATCCTTTTCTCCTTTTATACTTTTCCCTCCTTTTCTCCTTTTCGTCCTTTTCTCTTTTCTCTTTTTATCCTTTTCTACTTTTCTCCTTTTCTCCTTTTCTCCTTTTCTCCTTTTTCTCCTTTTCCTCCTTTTCTCCTTTTCTCCTTTTTCTCTTTTCTCCGTTTTTCCTCCTTTCTCCTTTTCTACCTTTTTCTCCTTTTCTCTCATTTCTCCTTTTCTACTTTTCTCCTTTTCCTCCTTTTCTCCTTTTCTCACCTTTTCTCCTTTTCTCCCTTTTCCCTTTTTCCTCCTTTTCTCCTTTTTCCTCCGTTGTTTCTCCTTTCTACTTTCTCCTTTTTTTTCTCCGTATTTTTCCTTTTTCTCCTTTT